GCGGTCCATAATAACAATGGTTACAATGAAAATAAAAAAAATGGTTAACAATATTAAGTAAAAAAGAAAATAAGTAAGTGAAACCAATATGTTTAAGAACGTATACACAAGCAGCCTGTGTGGGAGTGATGTTAGTTCGCTAGCAGGAAAAGTTAATGAAGTGATTATCCGTTATTCTAATATTAGGTATAACGAGTGACTAATATATACACTGTGCCGCTTTTTTCATTGAATTTTAGACATGAGGTAGTTATTTTTCATGGCAGCTAAGCGTTCCTTGATAATATGGACGTATTCGATCTTGAAATTTCTCCACCAATCACTAAACACTAAACGCCATTCATTCATAAACAGAATGTGCATTTAATACAACAGCGACAACTACTAAGGTGTTACCGCTTGGTGAGTTAGTTTACAAAAGAGGGTACAGAGACACCTATCCGTAACTGTACCAGGACTATGACACGCACTCCCCCCCTACACACACAAAAGTATCAAAAAAACAAACAAAACAAAAAAAGACTGACCCTTAAAGAGATGCCGTCCATTTGTAAGGCACGGTAACCCTATATTTCTTTGTACAATCTCAGAACACGATATATATATATATATATATATATATATATATATATATATATATATATATTATATATATATATACTTATTATGATTCATCGATAATGAATGGAGGGGCATTAGTTGGGGCAGATGGAACTAAAAACAAGTGGAATAAGTACTACATAAACCCTCACAGTATGCTAAATATGACAGAAGAGCTTTAGAGGATCGAAGCTACATATGGTATCATAGAGATTTCTGTAGAGAAAGACTGGGGGTATCCGTAAAGTTTGTGAGAACAGCGGAGGCAACATATTAAGAAGTTGCAACAACGGATTAGACCATGAATAACGGTACAGAAGAGTTTAAAATAATGAATGTACCACCATTACGGCAAATGATGCGAATACGACGCTACGAGTCCAAACTTCGACGTTAATTTGAACTAGTAATCAATGTTTACCTTTGTGGTGCTATAAATGTATATAGCATTGCTAGTATCGTAGTGGTTTCACAGGGTTTTTTTTTACCGAATTACAAATCTAGCCATGATCATTAAAAAGAGATGGCCATTACAACCCCATAATCTGGCTCAAACATCCCATTCACATCGTCTGTCGTAACAGTGGTCACACAAGTTTGAATTAAAGATCCCAGGACACCAGGGATCAACGCTGAGCCATTTTCTATTCTTTATTAATGGTGTCCGTTGAGCTGCACTTTTGCTGGCGACGCTGCAACTGTAACAGAGTTTCAGTTAGAACTGCAAGAGCGAATACGGAAACGGTAGCAAGGGCTTGAGGTTTGAAGAAAAATGCGGAAATATCTGAATGGTAATGAAGCGAGAGATCTGTGGATAGATATCGTTGAAAACAGGTGGAGAATTTTTAAACATTGGAATCAGAGATAGTATCAAGATTTCCAAGACGGAGCTGATCTGCGGCGTGCTATGGTTCAGGAGCTGTTTACTTCTGTTTACTTTGAGAAGAGCGGCAAGCTGCATTATGTATCTCAAAGAAAAAAAGAACAAATCTATTTTGTTGAAAGACTTTCCAAAGTATTATTTCTTCAGGAAAATTTAGTATTCATTGGCACATGCAGGCGCACTCAAGAAATAATGAAATGAAAAATAAAGAAATAAAAAAATAACCTAAAAATAACGGGTGCGAGGCTATTATGGATCCTTTATCAAGAAAACAAGCGACTCCAAGGAGTAAGTTCATGGTGGTACAGTGTATCATGATGTACTTTTGCGGTCTACCTTTGGTGAAGACAGGGAAAGTACTTGAATTTAGCATATATTTACCAAAATAACATCTACAAAAAAGCATCAGACGATTTGTATGCGCAATTAACTGACATTTTTGCTCCATTTTAACTTCAGTGAGCACTTCAGAGGAAGTATTCTAGGAAATTTCCAAAGAAGGGCATTATGGTCTTCGTTCTTAACAGTTAAACAGTGGGAAAACCATACATTTCCAAACTCAAGGTGGGACATTTTCCATTACTGACCTAGCACTTGCTTAGGCTAGAGATCAGACCATAAAAGTTTTATATTCAAGGCGACCACTTTCTAATGCTTTGAGGACGATAAATGATATTCCAGTCTGTGTAATGCAAGGTTGGGGACGTGGCCATGAGGATGGACCCTTTACAGACCAACCGTCCTAATATGATCTCTGAGGATGATGTACGGTGCAATTGATTATTATTGATTACCTCAAATGCCGAATTCATTTTGCAGAAGTACCCATCACATGCATACTTGTGCTATGATCACCTGATGACTGCCAACATGATGGCAAACTGGGAAATATGACTGATCTGTCATAAAATGGCTTTGCAAGAGCCAGGCGAGTGCCAAAGGAGACTAGGTGGATTTTGTGGAGGTAACACGTCTCCTTGACTGATCATGGAGTCCCTGTGGCATGGGAACAGGGGA